TCTAACCTGCCCACTCCCCTACATCCTGACACCTTAATGGAAAAACAAACCTCTGAAATAAGACTTTCTCCATCTAGCTTTTCCCCACCCAGCCACCACCTCCTCTCACCGCACCCTCTTCCACCAAACCATTCTCCACTCAATGCTCCACAAAAGCAAAACTGAGCAGTCACTGCCCTACTTAGAAACCTCCAATGTTTACCCAGTAACTTACAGAGTGAAGTACAAACTTCCTAAATGACTGATGCGCTAACTGGCAATCACTTTAATCCTTAAATCTTTACCACTTACTATAGTCTCCACACCTTGGCACATTCTTTCCCTTACATCTAAAATCTGCTTCTCCCACTTACCTTTTAAGACTTACCTCAAATCACCTCCTCTGTGTAAAAGTCCAAAAGCCCGAAACAGAGCTGCTCACACCTTCCTCTAAGCTCCCACAGCACTTCCACTTGCGGTTTTAATACTTACTATGATATGTTGTATTAATCACAGGAGGCAGTACTGCGTGGTGGCCAAGAAGAGCAGCTCTGGCGTATGACAGACTGGGTCCAACACCCACGCTTCCACCGCAGCTATATGGTTTCAGGCAAGTTGGCAGCCTCCTCTAGGACCCAGTTTTCTCATGAATAAAATTGAAATAATACAGGAGTCTAGCTCAGAGTGCTACTGTGAATGCTGTCAGCACTACCACCCCGAGGCTAGTGAACAAAGAGCGGCAGCAAGGCTGAGATGAGGAGGATCACACTTGCCCGTCTCTGTGTTGGGGGGATGCAGAGCCCTCCCCACCAGAGGAAGCACATATCTAAAGTCTTCCCCACGGGGGAAAAAGGAGAGATACAGACACAAAATGTTTAATCACTTCTGGGTGATTTTCATGATGGAATTACAAGCAACTTTTGTTCTTTTCTTCTGTGCTTCTCTGCAGTGAATATATGCAACTTATTAAGAAAAAGTTATCACTTAAAAACTCGACCCACCACCTAAAAACAGCATCTAGCACAAAGTTAATGCTCTATAAATATCTGTTCATGAAGGAATTTACAATGCCTTTAGTTTTGAAAACATGTTTACATGCATTTATTCCTTTTCTTTTCATAATCACTTTTTGGGTAGGGAGGCAGGTTACCATATATCCCGAGAACAGCAGGCTGAGAGGTCAGAAATAACTAAGTAGGGAGTAGGCTGAAACTTAAGCCCAAAACTTCTACCTGGGCAAAAATCAGAGCTTTCTTTCTATGCTCTAAGCACTAAAAGTGGACTCCTACTAGCAGCATTCCCAAGTCAGAGCACTGAATCACCTGTACACTGTTTGACAGGGAGCAAGGAAAAAAAAGAAACGTAGTTTTAAAAAGTTTGGTTAAACCTTTCAAACAAGGGAAAGAAAATCTGAGTACTTAAGTGACAAATCAAATTGTCCCAGAAGGCCAGCAAAAAAGAGTGGGAGCAACAGCCTCACTATGTGCCAGACACTCTTCTAAACACTTGACATGTATCTATTAGTTTAAACCTCATTTGAATCCTATGAAACAGATAGCTACTGTCTCTAATTTATAAATGAGTAACTAAAACACATAGAAGTTAAATAACTTGCTAAGATCACACAGTAAGCAGTAGATCCAGGTTTCAAAACCAAGCAGTTTTGAAAAAGATCAATGAGTCAAAAAACAAAAACTTGGAAAAACTAATAATATATTTCATCTCATTTCAAAGGATCTATAGTCCTTAACCGTTGGAAAAAATAAAAGCATGCTAGTGATTATCTGAGATTCTAATTACAAGCAGTTATTTTCTCATGTCAAATATTGTAAACCTATACTATTAAAGCTGTTTTAACAAACACATTTGACTTTCAATTATAAGAACATACAGCACTATTCTACAGTAAGTGCTTCTAGCTTTGTAAAACAAAGACTAAAATGTTAGGGTTGTTTTGTTTTGTGTTTTTAAGCAAAGAGCACATACCAAAACATTTATACCACCTCCCAAAATAACAGCTCCAGCAAAAGACCACTCCTACGGGAGTTCTCCTAGCAGCGCTCCTCAAACCTAGCTACAGTTCACAATCACACAAGGACCTTTAAAAAAAAAAACAATCACAGTGCCCACTCCAGACCAACTAAATCAGAGAGTATCTGGGGAGGGGTGTAAGTTTTTAAAAACTGCCCAAGTGATTCTCATGTGTAGCCAGGGCTGAGAACCACTAACACATCCTCTGCTATTTCTTCATTGCAGGCTTTTGTCCATAATGATCTGAAAAAATCAAGTCAGCCAATTTGCAAACAACCAAGAGAGTAAGAAAGATATGAGGGGCTCAAAATGAATGAATAGAAGGAAGAATTAGAAACTGCCAATATAAGCAGGGCAATGAAAAATGCAGCACAGGGAATATAGTCAGTAATACTGTCAAATGGCAACTATCTCATCATAGTGCATATTTTGTAATGTATATAATTGTCCAGTTACTATGTTGTACACCAAAACTAATATTTTATGTCAACTGTACTTCAATTAAAGAAAAAAATTAATTTCAAGAAATCTTTTCATGATTCAATACAGAGTCTATCCCTGAAAAGTCAAAATTTCCCTAAGTGCTCTGAATTCACTCGCCTACATTTTTGTACTTGGCTACTTACAGTTTCACAGGAAAACCAAATAAGCTTCAAAATTAAATATTAAAATACCCTGTTGTGTTATTCAAAAATACTACTACAGGTCCACATCCTTTATTCAAAACACTTGAGAACAGATTTATTTCAGAATTTTTCATATTTTAGAAAGTTAATACAGTGTTTCTACCCTAACCAGCTCTCCAGGGTCTAAAAGGGTATCAAAAACTGAATTAATATTCCAACAGCAAAATATGACTATTTTCTAAGTGAGATGAATAAAGATTGAAGCAGCCTATCAGTACAAGTCACCAAATTATTTTGCTACAAACATCTGAAAAAAACTTCCTTTTTCAGAGCTTTGGGTGAAGCTGTATTTCAAGATCTCTCTTTGATATTCAAGACACAGCAACTTGGTGTCACCATGATAAAAACACCCTTCTAACACCACTGTGACACAACTTAAGCTATGGCAGGTACACACAAAGTCCAAGTGGTGTCCACCAATTTCCACCCTAAGTTTCACAATGCAGCTTTGGGCAAGATCAAACAAATGCATCCATACATGCACATTCACTGACCAAGGCAAGTCTTGAGCAGAGCGCCAGACAAGGACGCCTTTCTATCCAGCAATATGGACACAACAGAGGGCTTGCAGGCTAAGCAGGCCAGGCTCCGCCACAAGCTACTTAACTTCTTAAACTCCAGTTTCTTCATGTAAGGATGGAGATGATAAAAATAGTACCTACTTCATTGTATTTTTAAGTAAAGTAACATTTGAAGTCCATGATTTATAAATAGCCAATATTAACTCCCTACCGCCTCTCCAAAGACCAGCTGTATACTGAAGGGGCTCAAATACGACTTGCTTATAAGATATCAGGCAAATTTTATGACACAAAACCTACCGTGAAACTATGAGTTTCACATTTCACAAATCCAGTGTAGATTAATATGACTTATTTTTGAAATCGGAACAGCTTCTAGAAAAACACTCTAACCAAACCTACCTGCTCTCCCAAAACCTTTTTGTCTTCCACACAACCAACTGCACACACAAATGGGTGATAAGTGAAAATAAACTACTACACAGATCAGTGCACTCTTTTAACTCAAGATGATTAGAACGGCCAACGTTTTATGGATAAGGGAAACCAGTACAATATGAGGACTTCACCATTTGTGTGCAGTCACTGTTCAAAGAACCCAGACAACTTAAGTACTTAGAAAAAGAAGGCACAACAGTCCAAAATCCAATTTTCATAAATTGCCACTAAATGAGAAAATTAGTAACTGAAGGGCAGATTTTTGCACCTAATGGATATTTAAACTTACTGTCAAATGGACAAAAAAAGATGGAATCCTTTATTATTTATCCTCAATTTAATTTAATCATGTAACTCAAGCATTTTATTTTACAGAGTACTGAATCGGTCTTAAAGCGTAACAAGTTCTGACCTGATCAATGCCTCACTGGCACCAATTTCCCCAAAGTACAGTGTATTTATTACCTGGACAACCTAGACCCCTACCACACCCAACCTGAGAGAAGATATTTAATCAAGTTGCCATAGTTCTTGTGAAATAGGCTTTCCCTAAATGCCAATACTCAAAACCTACTAGTTACTGTTAACACCACCATAAATAACCTATTAGAGCCCTGCAATTCCATCAGCTTTAAGAATATCACTTGTCACACGTCCTGGGAGAGGGGCCACAGCAAACACCTTGAAGAGAAAGAATCTGGATTCTGGGATCTAAGCCCCTGCTGTTTCATGTGAAGGCTTGGAACTAAGAACAAATGGACCAGCCACCTCACACCTACCTACAAGAGGAACTACCCGCCAGACTTAATCCTTCAACTTGCACTTTTTCCAGCATAAACGGTAAAGTCCAAAGAAAAGGAAATACGGAAAGGCCTATTTACTTCTGCTAAGGGGAATAACGGCATTGCCTCCAGCCCCCACAGGGTGAGCGAACACATGAAAAAGGAACGGGGTGAGGGCTGCTGGCGAGCTCGGCCGGAGTCCCGCACAGGCCCCCGCCTCGGACGGCGCCCCAGGGCGCGGCGGCCACACCGCAACGGGGCGGCGGGCAGCGGGGAGAGGCCACGGCCCGGGGCCCGGACCGCGCCGGCACGCCCGGCTTCCTCGGCCAGCCCCCCTCTCGCCCCCGATCCCCATCCCGCTCCCGCCAGAGACAAACACCCCATACACCCCGCGGAGGACAAAGCGGCAGGAGGTGGCACGGGGCGTCCGGAACAATGGGAGGCAGGGTGCGGGGCGAGACCACGGGGGAGGCCGGCGGAGCGCAGCCGGAGGGCGCGGCGGGCCGGGCCGGGCCGAGGGACGGGGCCTGCGCGGGCGGCGGGCGGCCGCCGGCGGGACTCACCGGCATTCTGGTCCCGGGGCCAGAGGTAGTATGTGGCCGGGATCACGATGAGCCCCACGAAGGAGGTGAGGAAGTAAAAGAAGGTGTTCCCGCTGTCATCGTACTGGAACTGCTGCCCCGCCATGGTGCCCCCTCCGCCGACTCCCGCCCCGCACCGCCGCCACGACCCCGCTCCGCGCCCAACACCCGGCGCCAGCCCCGTGTGGCGCAGCTCGGACGCCGCCGCGCCGCCTCTGCTCCCCGCCCCCACGCTACTCGCACGGACACGCCGCCGCCGCCGCCGCCAGCTCTCGCGAGAAGAGATACGGCCGCCCCGCTGACTTTTCCCTCCTCCGCCGCGCCTCCACGAGGGCGCTTAAGGGAGACGTGGCACGCGCAACCGTGGAACTCGGCGAGGCCCCGCCTCCGTCCCGCCCCCAGGCCGCGGCCCCGCCCCCGAGGGCTAGTCCTCCCCGGGCCCGCCCCCTGCCGGGGAGTCCCGGAAGTCCTCTTCCTGCTCTGCCTTCCCTACGTGCCGCCCTCGCGCCGTCGACCCCGGAGGTCGGGACCCGCGCCTCCAGCCCCGCGCGGGAACCAAGGCGGCGCCGCGGGGGGCGGCGGTTCTGTCGTAGTCGGCGCGCAGAGCGGTTCGCTCCGGAAGGCCGCCGTCTCCGCGGCGCCCTTTGCAGGCGGAGACCCCCGGCCCGGCCGAGGTGGGGACCTGCCGCCCCGGAGCTCGGGTGCCCGGCGAGTTCTTCCCCCCGTCGCGAGGCCGGACTCATCACACGAACCGCCGGGCTGCACCCGAGCGGCCGCGGCGGCGGGGAGCTGCGCCCCGGGCAGCGCCGCCCCTGGGGCCCTGGGCTCCGCGCGGCGCACGCCCTGCGGGCGGCGGCGGGTCCCCCGAGGCCCCTGGGGGGAGGCAGGCCCGCGGCGCGGAGGGTCGGGAGCCTGCGGGGGAACCACCGGGAGGAGCCTTCCCCCAGGGAGAGCTGCGCGACGAGCCGCGGCCACCCATGACGCCTGCATTCGTCGGGGCTCATCTTAAGACTCTAGTTTACGGAGGTGCTTTCGGCAGGCCTTCCGGAGGTCTGGCCGCGGGTCATCCCGTACTTCACGGCCCCGAAACCACTCTTTATTATCAGCAGCCATACTTCCCTTTATAGTCGGTTACGTCCACCTGTATTCTCTCATTTCAAATGTCCTCTCCACCCATTTTGAAAGGAAACTTTTCTCTGCATAAAGTTTTCAAAGACCTTAATGGAAGGGAAAAAACAAAACAGGCGTGAGGGGAAGAGGACTGCAGTCAGCGCAGCGATGTGATCCACTCGGGCCGAGGCGCCCGGACACCGCCTCGCCTCAGACACTGGTTAGTCCTGACACCAGCTCCGCTATAGCAGGACCCGTGTATGCCCATTTGGGTCTTGCTCGTTGCTCTCTGCCACGACTGGGTCACCACCCTGCAGGCTCAGCTGTCACAGGACCCGGAGGGGTCACTGTCCAGTCTCATCACAACCGCTGCCACCGCCTAAATGCTGGAGCCATTGCATCTGATTGTTGAGACCCACGTCATTGTTCTTCCAAAAAGACTATACCCTGGTATTATCGTGTCATTTGTCAAGGGTTTGGTGATGGCAGGAGAATGTTCTCTGAAGCTGGGGACAAAGCGGCCAGTGGCAAAGGTCACAGAAAGGATTCTTGAGCGCCAGACAAGCACAGAAGCTGCTCACGTCCAGAGCCACCTTCTCTCCAGGGCACACACGTGATGTGGAAGTTCCAGGGCCCGCCTCCCCCACGGCCCAGAACTGCTCACTACCGGCTCCTCCATGCTCTAGCCTCTTGCTGTGAGCAGGAGCATGTGCCTAGTGTTTTACACATGCTAGGTGACCACAGCCTCCAGCAGCCCTGTGACGGGACTAGAACTGCACCCATTTTCACATGAGGACAAGGAGGCTTAGGGAGATGAAGACACACCCAGGGGGAAGCAGTGGTGAGCTGGGAACCCAGGCGGCCTGACTCCTGGACGGAGAATTTCCCCTTTGCGACGACCACTACCGAGCCGGTAGTGAGCAGTTCTGGGCCATGGGGGAGGCGGGCCCTGGAACTTCCACATCACGTGTGTGCCCTGGAGAGAAGGTGCCTCTGGACGTGAGCAGCTTCTGTGCTTGTCTGGCGCTCAAGAATCCTTTCTGTGACCTTTGCCACTGGCCGCTTTGTCCCCAGCTTCAGAGAACATTGTCCTGCCATCACCAAACCCTTGACAAATGACACGATAATACCAGGGTATAGTCTTTTTGGAAGAACAATGACGTGGGTCTCAACAATCAGATGCAATGGCTCCAGCATTTAGGCGGTGGCAGCGGTTGTGATGAGACTTGTACTTACCACTGCACTTTCCCAGAAACCTGGCTTCCACCTGGGAACCCCAGTTTATCAGACACGTCTTTATATGTCTTAAGCCCAGCTGTGGACAGGGTTCAAGTATTTTACCCATGGGGCCCCTCAATTCTGATGCACGTCCGTGAATGCCAACAGCCACAAGGCAAAGAGGGCCACCAGGCTGCACCCTCTTAGAGTACCTGAGTCTCTGCTGTGGCCCTGCAGTCACCCAGTTATGGAATCAAGATGATAATGATAGGGCCCGTTTGTAAAGGAAGATCAGAATAAGGAATCTGGACTTAATATGCAAATTCTACAACTATATCACTAATATAATGGCCCACGGGTGAGGATAAAAATGGCAAAGAGAAGAAAAAGTTCCATTTCAGGCAATTTGCCCAGGCTGGCAGGGCCTGCAGACGCAGGTTCCAAACTAGCGATGGGGCATCCCTGGTCTTCAGACAGAGATGCTTCTCCAATCAGTAAACAGGAATAAGTGAGTGGCTATCTGGCTGTCATGGTAACTGTTGTACACACAGTGTTACAGCGACTGTGACCCACTCCTTACCTGCAGGTGTCAGATGAAGGTGTCCTAATCTGAACTCAGGCAGGGACAGAGAAAGAGAAGAGAAGGCATAAAGTACACCACAAATCCTGGATAGGTTAACAGGAATGTGCATCTCTTAGATGAAGCAGAAGATGCGAGTTTCCCAAATTATCTTCAACCCTTACAGAAGGTTTAAGTGATAATTTTCTCAAAGGTTCAGGAAAGAAGTCAGAACCCAGCTTTACAGACGATGGGAGGTGGGAGGTGGCTAGTTAAAGTAATTATCCTCAGGCCCCTAATCAGCCCCTTTGCCCACATGCACCATTCGGAAACCAAATCCCGACTGTGGGGTTTTCTGAAATCTCACAGTTGCACAGCCCCTGGCTTTGGCCCACCATGGCCAGCAAAGGGTGAGCTCTGGCCCCGGGGATATGGGGAAGAATAAATGCTACCCGTTGTCCTCACTGCGTCTTACGTTGGGGCTGTTGCTGATTCTCTGACCTGGAGCATCTAAAACCAAGCATCTTGCATCACCTTGAAGAGTAATTTTTCAAACCTGTGCAGTCACCTAAGAAATCCATATTTCTCCCAGAAACTGTACTTTGACTCTATCCTGACAGCCAATGATCAGGTCTCATTCTGTTAAGAGGGTAAGTGCCTCTTCCCTGTGTTAACTAAGAGGAATGTGGAGCCCGGACAGCCCCTCCCTGGTTCCTGGGGTGTGCACCTCTGCGAGGGCGTCTGGGAGAACCAGGGAATGGGGAGGAGATGGGGACGAGAAGAGAGGAGCCTGAGGAGCGAGGCAGTCGAAGACACAGAAGGAGCGATTCCAGGAGTCATTTATGAGCACAAAACCATTTTTACCTCTAATAATTAATGTGGTCATAAATACACTTGGTGAGAAGAAGAGCAGAATTCATCTTCCCAAGAGATAAAAGTACAAAACTTTGAACACATAGCTACTGGTCCTGAATATGCCATCGACTCACTTTGTGAACTTTGGCAGGGGCCTTTACGTTGCACTTTGCCATTGGGTGTGTTTGTTTGTGTCTACAGAGTGGCAAAATAGAGCACACCTTCGCCTCACAGGATGGCATGGAGGTCAAATCAGATTATATTAGAATAGTTACAGTTACTTACATTTGCACAGGAGGTCATCACCCACCAGGTCCTTCCGCATATATTATTGCATGTGCATGAAGGAGCCTTGAAAAGTTATGAAAGGACAATGCCTAGGTTTGAAGACCAGCCCCACAGCTCTCTACTTCCATTTTCTCCAAAGCAGAATGAGGGTAACAGTAGTATGTACCTCATAGGTTGTTGAAACTACATAGGAAAATGCTGGACAAAATTCACTTAGCTTGGGTCTGTGTGCAAATGCCACCTCATAGAGGGCTTCCAAGGCCTCTTTAACTAACATAACGCCCCCCTTTTCCATCTCTTCCCAGCCCCCGCCCTTTATTTTTCTGAGTAAGCACTCTATACCATCCTATTGGCTTATTTGCTTATTGCCTGTCTCCCTGGTTAGAATAGGGTCTCCATGGAGACAGAGATTTTGTGTGTCTTGTTTCTCTGTGTCCCCAGCCTGTAGACACTAATAGCACTCAGTAAATAGTGTGAAGGGCATAAAGCTCGCTGTTGTGATTGTTACTATTATGTTTACCTGAAGTCCCTCCCTCCCTTTTCCTGTTGTGATGCAGCCCCATGCATCGGACGATTCTGCTTCAGAAGCGACCCTCCCCACCCTTTAACAACAGCTTTCAGATATATTCACATGCCATAAAATTCATTATTAAACTGTATAATTCAGTGGTTTTCAACACAGTGGTTTTCAACACAGCCACAGGGTTGTGCATCCATCACCATTATCTAATTTTAGAACATTTCTATCACCCACAAAGAAATTCTGTGCCGGTTGGCAGCCATTCCCCATTCCCCTCCATTAGCTCCTGGCAACCACAAACCTTTCTGTGTCTATGGATTTGCCTATTTTGGGTACCTCATAGGCTCATAGGAATGGAATCATATAACATGTGGTCTTGTACCTGGCTTCTTTCAATTCACATAATGTTTTCAAGGTTTGTCCATATTGTAGTATGTGTCAGTACTTCATTCCTTTTTCTAACTGAATAATATTTCTAATAAATGGACATCCCATATTTTGTTTATCCAGTTGTCAGTTGATGGACATTTGGGTTGTTTCTACTGTTTGGCTGAACAACGCTGCTATGAGCATTCATGTACAGGTTTTTGTGTGGATGTGTGTTTTCAGTCCTCTTGGCTGTACAGGAGTGGAATTGCTGGGTCATCTGCTAACTGTGTTTCACATTTTGAGGA